CAATTATCTGAGATTCGCATTGTGTCTAATGGGATACTGAATTTCCCTTTCATATAATGAAAGTAGCAATACTGCTGAAAGGGGTGCCAATTAAATCTGAGGTATGTGATAAAGAGGTAGTTTGAGATACCTGTGAGCCAATTGTAGAGTTATTTTTCCCCATCTTTTTGTTAAATATCTGTTTCATATTAGAAGGTCGATCCTTACTATCTTCTCCTGAAAAATACTTGGTCAGACTCCTTAAATACATCCATGGTGTGCCCTAGGGTCAATATACAGTCCTCTCTCTCATGTCTTTGACATCATCATCTGTTTAATAAGAACTGGCATTAATAGCAAAGTCCCTGAGGCAGTGTGAGATCCTCTTTCTATGTATTGTATTTCTAAAAGAAATAATATATTTTAGTGGGATCTCAGGAAACCCTTTTGGTTTAGTTAGCTGGATAAAGGTTACTAACTACAACAGAAAATGTATCTGCTGTGCTTAGTACTTTATCTTCAGCAAAGCATAGTGCCTGACTATGCATACGCACACAAACACACACAGACATACAGTGGACATGCAACAAATATTTGTAGAATGAATAAATATTCAGGAAAGATAACCTGCACTGAAGTTTTACTTTGTGTTTCTTTTCAAGGTATACCCCATGCGTAAAATTATACATTGCTTCAGTATCAAACACTGTATCAGAGAGACTTCTCTAGAAATAGAATTATCAACTTTTAGAGTGATCAGGGTTTTTCAAGATCATCTCAGTCCAATTCTCCTTATTTAAAGTGAGGAGGAGAAGAATCTGTAAAAATAAATATAATTTAAAAGCTGTTGGAATTCCCAGAATGCATTAAGCCTTCCAAGAGATATGACTGTGATCTGAGTCACCTATAGTTACAACTTCTGTTTCTCAGATTACAGATTAACTTGCTTTTTCATTTCCCTTGTTTTATACAATAACTAGAAAGAACTAAATAGCATTAGGGACAAAAACCTCCTGCTTTCTTAATTAATGACCCTTGTTATAGATTGATTTCCCCTTTGTTATCCTGTTTTGCTTAGACCAGATGATAGAAAACCCATGGCTATTAGACTCTCTGTTTAAAAAGATGTTCAATGTACCCTTTCCAAACAGAAACCCTGCTTATAACCGATCAAGCTGTTGTAACTATGTGCCAGCCTGTATGAATAATGCTATAATCCTGTTAAAAACTCCTTTGTCTCTGCCTATATAAATGAAATCTTAACTTCCCTACACTGGAATGCTGACTCCATTCCTTTAGAGTTAGTACTTCCCGGTTGGTCATCCTCAAGCTTTGTGCTTGAATAAACTCTCTTTAAATTAGATTCTGACCCTTTCAATTAAGGTGAAAAATCATAGGTGGTAAGGGATTCCATTTACTTTTTAAAAATAAACAATTGAAGATTCTTTATCCATCTCTCAGATAGTGAAAACACTCTTTTCTGGGGGGAGCTGTCATAATTTGGGGGATATAAACCAACTGACCAAAACAAGAGACAGAAGACAGTGCAAGCCATCCCACTGCCCATCGTGATGATTCTGTTCCAGAGGACCAGAGTTGGGTGCTCATGAGAGGAGGGTTTCACTAATAACAGGAACACACAAATCTAGCTGCAGGAGCCTTGGATTCTTCCACGGTGAACTAAAATGTGTGAGCAATCACATTTTTTTTTTAAGTGTTATTTTGCCCAAATAAATTTTGAGGCCAGAAAAATAGTTAAGATCAGGTTTGTTATTGCTTTTTTGTTACTATGTTAAACATGTGAATCAAAGTCTCAATATTTAATTGATGAAGTATTAAGTAGAGTTATTAGGGACTCTGCAAGTCATCAAGTTCAGAATGTAAAATTAATGAGCCTGTGTGAAAACAAAATAGTATATAAAAGGCTCCCACCATAAACCCCTTATTTGGATATGAAATAGTTCACTTGATTACAGCTATATTAAGCTATTACAAGCTTTTCTACAAAATAATTGATGTATTTTTACAGGAAGAAAATTAGATGAGAAGAATAAAGCTAGTGTCAGAAATAGTATTTATAATATCTTCCAGT